ATACGAAAAGTGAAGAAAAGCACATGGCCAGATACGCGCGTGTGTGGTCTTTGGGCTTTTCAGGAGAAAAAGAGGAAACCTAAGGGTTTGGAGTTTTTATGGATTTAGGGTGCAGTCATGCCTGAGGCCCTTAGGATTTATGGCCCATGGTGTTTATTGAGCCTTTGATGTACATGTTGGGGTTTTAGGACTTTGGTTTCTCCACTTACTGTACGCCTGTATTTGCAGTAATGGGCGAGGCCTGAATCGCTAGTTTGGCTTGAAGGTTCACGGCGTAGGGGTTCAGATTACCCCAAACCGCAGCATTTCAATGCACTGTTTGCTTGCAATCATAGCTCTGAGGTGGGCGTTGTTGCTACGAGTACAAGGGTTTCAGTTTAGGATTGGGAATTGCAGATGCAGGCAGAGGCTATCGGAGAAAGAGCTTATGGATACATGCGAGCCAACAACGCCCAAAACCCCAAACCCCAAACCCCTAAACCCGAAAACCAACACCCTAAAACCAAGACCCGAAGCCCTGAACTGGCACCTCTACCCAAAGCGAATCAGAGCCGGTTGGAGTTTAGGGGTTGGGGGTACACCACCCAAAAGTAGTTAAAATAGCCCAACACTTATATATATATATATATATATATATATGAGGCAGTTGTTCTACAGACTGTCGGGGACCAGGTAGGGCTGGGACATACCCTGAGCTCTGAACCCTTAACCTTACCATAAAGCCCAAAACCTTCAAAAACCCCATCAGTTTAAACAGGGCCTATGATGGGATACTATTTATGATGATTCCAAACCCTATAATAATGTAAAAAGGGTTCTGGGGGTTCCTTATTATAACTATAGTATAATATACCCCCAAACCCTATTCTGATTATTAAGGCCCCTATATGATATAAGCCCACTGCCCCGAATCGCAGCGCTTTGAGCAGTGGCCTGGTAACCAGGCAAGCACTCCACCGGGCAGATCTCGCCAGATCTTAGCAAAAAGGGCGGCTTAACGGTACTTTGTTAGGGTTTAGGGTTTAGGGTTTAGGGTGGAAGATAGGGTGCTGACGTCAGGAGAAGAAGCCTCCAAAGTTGATATGGCTTACGGTTTCGGAACCTGCGAAAAGCAGGCTTTCGGCTTACAGGGCTCAACACCCTAAACCCTAAACCCTGGCAGGTCTAACGCTGTACTTTGCCCAAGGTTTAACAGCCAATAGCAGGCGGGGGCCGCAATCACCTCGCCCGGCCCGTGGACCAGGGGACGACGGGGCGGTTGGGCGACCTAACGACTTCATACTGCAGTTGCGCTCTACGTATAATTTAGGGGTTTAGGGTTTAGGGTTTAGGGTTTAGGGTTTAGGGTTTAAACCCGCAACCTCTCGACCACCACGGCAGAAGGGTAGGAGATCGGGGCCGGAATCCCAAAGCTGTCCTAAACTTCAGTTTCAACCCCAAACCCCCTATATGTAGCCATTTTGTACTAGTATTCCTTGACCCCACTTAAAGGACCAGGGGGCTTAGCAAGGGCTGCAAAGTAGTCCTAATATAGGGGCCTTCTTCTTCTGCGCTGGGCAAAAGGTCTCAGAGACGTGTCCATTGCTATGCGAATTCAAGAGTGAAACAATTGTGGAAATCGGGTCCCTCCGAGGCAGCCTGAAGGCTTAGCCATTCTGCCACCGGCCCTAAAGCCTGAGGAGTGCAGGCAAAGCGAAGCATCACCGGAATCCCATCTCGAACAGCAGTCATCAAAAGTTCAAGTAGCACCAGCACATCGTGGAACCAGCGGGAATTGGCCCGAAGATGGCGGAGTGAACAGGAACTATGGTCGACGACATGCGAAAGGGAGAAAGGCGGACTCGGAGGACAGCAGCAAAAAGCCGCAACAGGGAAGGCCAGAGTCGGGCCACGCAAGGGCCATACCAAAGGGGCAGTAGGGCGGGAATCCAAGCCCAGTCGGCTGACCCAAGTGTGGCAAAGCGCCCCAATCCAACGCACAGGAGCCACCCGCAACGGCAGTGCAGTCGGAACAGGACAAATGAGCGGACAGAAGGAGCCAAGGACGCTCGGCATCAACTCCTCAAGACCAGAAACTTGAGAGCACAGGTGTTCAGCGTGCAGGATCAGCAAAACATCGGAGCCGGCAATCCGAAGCGCCTCAACCACAACAGAATGTACCCAAGCCTCAAGCGTACGGCGAAGAACCGGCAAGGGCTCGATGTGTTTACAGACAATGTCGTAAACAGTCTGGTCATTGCAGTCAGTAAGAGAGCGCAGGTCGTGCAAGAGTTCCGGACAAAGAACAGGGGCGGGGGGCGGTAACGAAGCCTTAGGGACCCCTGCAACAGCCGGGCATTGTACCTGGCCTTCAGACAGATCAACGGCGAAGGTACCAGACGCAGACTGCGCTACCAGCAAGCAAGCCGGTGAGGTCTTGAAGTGCTTACGCAAGCGAGTCTGATTAGCAACAATCAGCCCACAAGCAACACAACGACGGCCCACGGCAAGGCGGTGGGCTGGACTCAAGTAACCGTGGGCTCGGTGAGCATGAGCTCCCCAGGCCTGCTGCGTTCGGAAAGCAATTCCACAACGTAGACAAGCATGCGCACAAGAAGCAAAGACAGCAGCAGTGGCCGAGGGGGAGCAAGGGGACCAAACCTTGCGAACAAAAGAGTCACAACTGGCCGTGAATGAAATCACCTCACAGTGCCATGCCTCGGCACGCTTGAGCAGTCCCTTCCAGTGGCCAGGAGAATCGCAAATCACCTGACGCCAGGTCTCCCAGTTAACTTCCGGATCAGTGAGGGAGGAGGTCGAACGGACCGCCTGGAGGAGCCACTGGCAAGAGTGCAACACAGCTCGTTGGAACGGAGTGTACCAACGAAGGACGGCCCATGCCACGTCGGAACCGTGACGCACAAGTTGGCCAAGGAAGCGAAGCCTTGCAGCAGCCAAAAGCGACGCAGGAGACGGGAGGCCGGAACGCGCCAGGATTTGCGAAGTGGTAACTGCATACCCCCCGGAAGAACGCAGGCACAGAAGCTGGCGGTAAAGCCCAATGATCCCGCCAGAAAAGAGCTGCCACTCCGACCCAGTCAACCAAGGCCAAGTGCCCACACCTGACATAACAACCGAGAGCACGTAGGTTTTAAAGAGAAAGGCGCGACGCTCCAGGGAGACCTGCCTGCATGCAAAGAGCCGCTGACGGCCTTCCTTAAAGGCAGCGCGCCCCAAAGCCAGACGGTACTTAATCTCAGTAGTCAGGCTGCCGTCATAGGACAGATGGGAGCCAAGGTGACGATAGCAGGCAACCAAGTCAAGCTTAATCATACCAGAGTGCTCGAGGAGGACCGGGAGCTTGCATCCCATAGAACCGAAAAGCGCACTACGAGCGGCACGGGAGCCAGGGCCATGCATCGCAACCAAGGCCGCGGTCTTCTTGGGGCCGTAGTTGGGTCTCAGTCCATGGGGACCGAGTACATCGAGGGTAGCCGCAGCTACACCACTGAGTGCTGAACGCATCTCCCCGGCCGACCCACATAACACGAAGGTGGCAAGATCATCCGCGTATACAACATCACCAAGAGGCTGTGGGGTCCCCTTCTCAGAACTCTGTGGGCCGTGCGAAGCAAAAGGGGCCCGGACGCCGTCCCAGGGGAACATCGGCACGCTCTCACGGAGCGCGTCAGCGTCCCTACGGCAGAGCACTTTGCCGAAGAGAACGTTAAACACGATGTCTGCCAGGGCACCCCCGGGGCGGGTGCCGCGGTGAGTGTGCACCAGGCTGTTGTCCCTCGCAAGCATGAACCATGTTGAAGAATGCATTTCACGGGCCAGCTCCTCAAGGATCGGGGAGGCCTGCTGGGTCTGAAAGATGGGCTCAGTTGCAACATGGTGCCGTAGAAGCTGCAGGTCGTCACTGTTGAGGCCAAGGGAGGCAGCGATGTCCTCCACCGGGCGGTCGGAGAGCCCGGACCCCAACACTGTCTCGCGCACCACGCCATAGTACGCGCTGGCAAGATCTAAGAAGAGAATGGCACCAGAACAGCCCTGAACCTGGGCGAAGTGCAAAAAACCCCTAGACAAGAAATGGCCAACTTCGGCACTGCAGCCCTTCCGTCCTCCGATCTGACTCGGGAGTGCGTGAGGCAACCAATGCCCCACGACCAGGTGACGAGCGGTGCGATGCATGGCCTTCGCGAATCCACTTTGCACAAGGATGCCTCTATAACCTGCGCATGTATGGGCGGCCTGTACGTTCGGCTTAGGGATACAATGCAATGTACCTCCTTTAAGTCCTGCCGGTTCCGCCGCGCGGAAGATCACCTTGAGCATGAGTGGCCAGAGCAGGTCAGCCAAATCATGACTGAAACCGCGCAACAAAACAGGTGGTATCAGGTCCGGCCCGGCGGCCTTACCGGGCGCAGAGGCTCGCAGTGCATGTTCGAAGTGGCGAAAGCACGGAACCGTGTCAACATCAACCACATCGGTGCCATCAAAAGCCTGTTGGCGCTGTCGACAGGTCTGAACGAAGTCGTCAGTGGGCACCACCACGCCGTCCTCCAGAGCCGCAAAGTGCTCACGCCAAGTAGTGACAGAATCAGCAAAGCTGGCACAAGTGGTGCCGTCGGCACGTTGGAGCAGGGGCAAAGGATCAATCCCGGCCCTTCTGTATCGCCGCGGCTTCAAAACACGACGGACTTGGGTGTGGAGCTCCTGCGCGCTAGCACCTGCCAGATCGGTGGCCAGGGACTCGAAATAGCTCGCCCTGTCGGAACGGCATTGTCGACGAAGCTGACGCCCGAACCGGCCAAGAAGCAAACAACTAAGTCCCAAGTGTTCCTTGACTTGCCAGAGCCAGCTACCCTTATAAACGTCGAGGTAGGCCTGTCGGCCTCGCCAAGCGACGAAGACGCAGCGCAAGCTCGCAAGCCGTAGTGCCAGCTTAAGTGAACGCACCCGGTGGCGAAGGGCGGACACAGCATGATGCAAAGTGGCAGCATGGGCAGAAAGGTAGGAGGCGCGAAGCTTGCGTTGTGCAGCAGGGAAACAGGCAACAAGCCGCCGGTAGAGATAGTCGACAACAAGCGCGGCATGTTCGCTGGAATCAATGTCCCAGGCGGGGCGCGGGGCAGCCCGGATAATGCCAAGGATCTGGGCCTGATTGCTGGGGTCTGCAAGCGCACTGGCTGAAATTCGGGGGGCTTTTCCGCGAGCCCGACGAGCAACTGGCAAGGCCAGTCGGACAGACAGCACAGCAGCGAAGTGGTCGACGCACGGATGACCAGCAGAAATCGAAGGATCGACCCACGCCTCGCAAACACCGTTAGCCCAGGCAAGTGGAATCCCGACATAGTCGGACCGGGCCAGCGACCCATTGCGCTTTTGATAAAGTGTATTGCCGTCCCCCACTGAGCAGGACTGAAAGGTGGCGGGAAGCCACGAGCCCAAGTATACAAGGAGCTGATGGAAAAGATCACCATTCAGGTCTTGAGTATCAGCTTGCCAGGGGCCAACAGACTGGCTGTTATCAGACCCAACCCGGGCATTGGCGTCAAGTAGTAAAAGCCACGGCGAGGCTCCCGAGAAAACCCGACACAGCTCATGGACCCGTGTCCACCAGGCCCGTTTGACATCATCGGGATGGACACGGTGAGGAGAGTGGGCTACTAGAATGCGAAGTGGGATTTCCCCCAAGGACGCACTGGCGATCAAGCAAGTAGGGTCAGCGTGCAGGACAACAGCAGACTCAGCGTCGATAGGCGCGCGCTGATGTAACCACAACTCGACCCCAAAACAGGACTGGGCATCACCGCCAGAAGAGAGGCGACGATAAGGGCCTCCTCGAAGAGTCCCCTGTGGGGTACGACATTCCTGAAGGCCTGCAATCTGGACCCCTGCCTCATCGAGTCCGCGGGCCAACAAAGAGACCCTGCCTGTGGCCCCATGGAGGCCCTCAATAGAGGGGCGGTGAGGAGGGGCCTCACCAAGAAGGGAAAGCACATTATAGGTGGCCAGCCTCAAGCAGACACCACGAGCCTGACCTGTCTCTCCCGCGTCAGCAGCATCCCGGAGAAAAGGGGCCATGGCAAAGGTAGGGGTCTCATTGCAGACACCCGCGCCACGAGCCCAAGAGTGGACGTCTCTATGCAGAGCAGGCACCTCATCCGGCCGAGCCAAAGAAAGGCAAAGATGAGGAAGCCAAAGAGCACGGCTGCCCTCATTTGAACCCCAGAGGCCGAGATCAAAAGAGAAGGGGGCAGGAGAAAATCGGGCACAGGCTGCCAGGGAAGCAGCAGCGTCTGCCAACTCGTTGGCCGCATCCCCAGCATGGCCTGGGACGTGTTGATAACTGGGGCGGCAATGTGCCCCGACCTGCAAGGCAGTATGGACGCTCCGGGCCAGAGTGCAAATCAGGTGAGGAATCATGTTAACCTCCCCATGAACCCCAGCCAGAGCTGACACGTTATCGGCACGGAAGAGAACATCACCATGCCAAGGCAACTGAGCAGCCGCCACGCCGGCCCACAAGAGGCCAGCGACCTCCGCAAGGTAGGCATCCAAGAGTCGAGTATCCGAGGGGCAGAAGGGAGCGAAGGACATCATGTCACCACCGAAGCACCCAATGAACTGCCCAGGGAGCGAACGATCAGTGCCAGACACAAGGGAGACAGCGACGGCCCAGCCTGACTTGCGGTCATCAGCAGAGAAAGAACCATCAGAAGTAAGCACCAGGATTTCATCGGGGGCGGGCGAGCGGCCAGGGCTTCCCGAGGCGAGCCAGCAAGCAAAGCGATCCGGCCGCGGAAGACCGGTAGGAGCAGCCCGCAATGCCGCAAATGGCACCGAGGAAAACAGGCGCTGCACATCAGAGATGCAGCAAGGCAGTTGGCACTGACGGGAATCCAGCTCGAAGACCTCACATCCTGCAGATACTGTGGCTGGGCCAGAACGGACCGGAAGAGCAGTCGCCAGGCTGAGTATGGTAGGAGAAGCGAGGGCTTGACGAGGGACACGGTCAAGAGGCACGGCAGCCCCATCAAAGTGCTCACACAGAGTATCCAGCAGCGTAGCCGCAAGGAAAGCCCAATGGTGGTCACGCTGCGCGCTGTCCTCAAGAAGGGTAACAAGCGGGCCAAGATCCACTGCGAGGGAAAAGACTGAGGCATCCATGGAGGGGCAAAAGACCGGCACAGTCCCAGCCAAAACGTCAGCTGAAGCATGAGTGGCAACGGCTGGCCGAGATTCCAGGCGGCCGCGGCAAGGAGTAGGCACTGGCCGAGAGGGAAAGGGAATAACAGGAGCAACACTGGAAGGTTGCACCGGGCAACTGCAGTCCCTTACCCCACCAATGTTCCCAATTGGGTGATCCCTATCAGGACTCCTAGTAAGATCAAAGATCTGCACTCCCTCTGCCGGCTGCACGGCCAAAGCACAGAGGATGCAAAGAAAGAGGAGCGCGTTACGGGAGGAGCCAATACCCTCAGCGCTCCGGGAACATGCACCCAAAGCAGCGACACACAAGCCGGCGGAAACCAGCAGGGCAAGACCACGGTGAGTCATGCCAAATCCAAGGGCAGCAGCTGCCCAAAGTCGAAGAAGGAGAGAGAGAGGAGCCCATTCATTGAGTAAGCATCCGCCGGAGGCCTTGAATCGAAGAAGGGGGGCAATTGCCGACAGGAGGACAGGGGTGGAGTGTTGGTTGCCGTCAAGAAAGGCACCGAGTACTAAACCAAGACCCCACATGACTACTCGACCGTCAGACTCCCCGCAAGACCCAGGGGCAGAAGGACCCGAAAAGGCACGCTGAGTGCTGCCAGTGCCAGCGTCCAGCCCGGGCACCTCAGGTGGTACACCGGGCGGAAAGAGACCGTCATCTTGGTCGGAAAGGCGGTCAACATCATCACCAGGTGGCCTTCCATCATCGGTATCGCGGCGGAAGCCTCCAGGCCGGCGAGGCACAAACTCGACTACTAGGACCTGTCCCGGGAAGACAGAGCGAAAGTGATTGCCTCTGTCACCGACGGCATGACCACCAGTGAGCCGCAAACAAAAGCCCGTAGGGCATCGCACAGCTTGGCGCTCACAAATGGCAGCGACATCGACTCTACCCTCAGGAGCAATCGCCCATGAAATCGTAAGAAGAACAGGGCGAAGGTCGAGGATGAACGGGATGGCAGTCCGATCGTTATGTTCGATAGCCAAAAAGACCTGGCGTGAGGGGAAGCCACGCGAAGCATGGTCACGAATGGCTGGAGTAGCAGGCATAAGCATAAGCTCCCTTTCCGGGATGCGAAGGATGTTGGCCGCCAAGGCACGAAGAGGGGGGCGCCACCGAGGCACCAAGCGCTGATGTCGCTGATCGGTAAGCAACCAAACACCCTCATCGTACGGCCCTGGTAGAATCGGATCTGTGTGCCATCCTACCCCGGACGACAGCATGACCTGAAGTTGCAGAGGCGGCGCACCTGCCGTCCCGGTCGGCGAAATAGTGAGCAAATCCCCAGGATTAACGTGGATTTGTGCATCTGGAGGTGCGGCCCAAGGCACGTCCGCCACAAACACCTGAACAGCGACCCCCTCACCGATGCCGGAAAAGTGCAAGATAGCATCCACAGTGAGTACGGCCGGGAGGATAGCGGCGAAGATCCGAAAGGGAGGGACGAAGCAAACAACCAAAACGGGCACGCCAGGGAACTCCCAAGGCGGGAGGGCCAAGGCACAGGCAAACGAGAGCGAGGGCTGAACAGCCGGAAGCATCAACCAAGGAAACATCCGGGAACAATTGACGTCACGAGCCTCAGAAATCAAGCCAGTGATAGGGCCGGCCGAGGTGGGAAGGTGCGTAGGAACACAAACGTGTTCAGCCCCATATTCCGGTACCAGCACAAGGAAGTGAAGTTCAATAGTGTCAGTACCGTCCGCCGAGCCGGAAGCAAGAGGGCCATGCACAGCAGGGTCGTCGAAGTCATCGTCGTCCCAAGCAGAGTAAGGAACCTCATCGCCGGTTGGCCGAGCATCAGGTGCAGAGGAACCGGCGGCCCTCGAAGGCACAAAGGGGGCAGAAGGTGTACCAGAGGAATCTGGGGCATAGCCGACAACAATCACCTGGCCGGGCACCGTAGTGAGTTCACCCGTCTGAGGAAGGTCCCCAAGTAAGTGAGCATGCCATCCTAAGGGCGCTTCGCTGCCAATCTCATCAAGGAGACGATCGACGTCAACAATCCCAGCATAAGCATGGTAAGTCCGCCAACCATCCTCGATCGGGCGGCAATCAAGCAGAATCAAATGCCAATCCCGTGACTGAGCCACAAAGCTCACAACACCGACAGCCACAACCGACCGACATACAACGCCATTAAGAGACGCATCGGCAGGAGGGGGTTGCGAGGCATAAAGCCGCATTCTAGCAACCGGAGCACCAGTTACAGCAGCAATACGTTCACGGTAGCGGGTGGCCTCTTGTGGCGCAAGAACGAGGAGCTGCCCCTGTCCCTGGTAAGCCAAGCAATAAGCTGACTCAAAGTGTGCAACAGGCAGCGTCGACTCAGAGCTCCAGATCCCAAAGACCTGGAGAGCTTCTCCCAGGGTATACGTGAACGGTGGAAATTCGCCATCAGGAAGGAACCAGACCACAGCTCCAGGAAAGAGGTGGATCTCAAGACCATCCCGTAACGGCTCATCCGCAAGGCCGACCCAAACCTCCACGCCAAGGTGGACAGGGAGGTCAGCTATGCGAAGCAGAACCCCGCGGCTAGCGTAGGCAGGAGTGAAAGCCACAAATATCCGATCATCAAAACGGCTGGTATCGAAGACAACACCGTGATGAAAGGGACACCATCGGGGTGCGGCCACAAAGGTAGCAGTACCGGTATGTGGTTGGGGAATTGCAGGCAAAAGGGACGGGAAGAGGTGCCGAGCAGTAGGGTTACGAGCCTGTTGGAGAGCTTCCTCAAGCTCGCCCTGAACCGCAGGGATGCGGATGGCAACAGTGAAAAGCTCAACAGCATAGTCGTGCTTAAGGACTGCGCAACTAACCAATCGGAACTCACCTGAATCTTCAGAAGGGTCGGCAGAGGCAGTGTCAAGATCAAGCACATGATCAAACATCACATTGGGCAAGCTGGGCATCCAAGGCCCTCCAAGCAGCTGAGTGATGGAACGCAGCTGATCAATATGACGCTGCTCCCCTGGCGTACGCCCTAAAGGTTCCTGAAGGAATCGGCAGCAGACTGGCAACAACCAGTAGTGAAGCACAACTTCACAGAACCGCCCGAACGCGGAAAGAAGGCGAAGGGCAGCCGAAAAGAGAGCAGGTGTGACGGCCACAAGAGGCAAACGAACAGAGCGATAAGCCGCAAGCGAATCGTCAACAAAGGGTGGTCCGGCGTCAGCCACTGGCAAGGCCAAAAGAAGCACACCCACACCAAAGAACCATGTCTGGCAGCCAAGTGAGGCGGGGCGACAGGCACTTAGCGAAGGCAAGGCGTCAGCCACCTGAAAACCTGCGAGGAAGCAAGAAGTCCGCCAGCGATCAGGGAGCACAGGGGTGAGGGCCCGAGCGCCATCAGCAATGGCATCAAGAAGAGGAACGGGACCCCACATGATTTCTCGACCTGACCTAGCCTGGTAGGACCTGATGGCAGAGACCTGATTGGTCAACGCACAGAATACAGCTCCAGCACGATCGCCACCAACAGCACGAGGCGACCGGCTGCGGATTCGCGTCACAGCCAAGGACGGAGACTCAGCAGAAGCTGTAGGTCCAGACCCAGAGTTCGGCCTGCCTGGGGGGTGATCAGGACCCGGATCACCACCACGAGAAGGCCCCCCATCAAAGGGGGGCGGCTGATGGGGAGGCAAGTCAACATCAGCAGTCTCCTCAACAAACTCCACGATGAGAACCTGGCTGGAAACAATCTCAAAGAAGACACCGTCAGCTCCAGAAACAACAGGAGCACCAGTGATAGAGACTGAGTGGCGTGGAGGACACGCGTGCTGGAAGCGAGCGGAGAGAGGCTGGACAGCAACAAGCGAATCCGAGCAAAGCTGCCAAACAATGCCTTTAAGGATACGCCGACAATCCAGTATCAGAACGAGACGAGGGTCGGGACATCGAGCAGGAGGGAACGGTATCCTCGACAGCTGCTCGGTCACAACCAAAACGTCAGAGGTCCAAACGCCAAAGAAGAACCCGTCAACAATGCGAGGCCGAGCCGACTTAAAGGACAGGCGAAACTCAGGAGCGCCCAGAATGACAGCGACGTCCGACTTGAAAGAGGCTCGGCGGCCAGGCTTGACCTCAAAGTTGAAGGGCCACGCATCAGTGAGAACCCGCATGTGGCTGCCCGGATAAAGGCGGGGGCCCAGTGGGAGAGCTGTGGCTTCCCAGCCTTCACAACTCATCAATTGAGCGGACAAATCGTGTCCAGCAGGTGCGCCCTCGCCTCGAGGCACAAAGCTAATGCACATACCAGAGACAAGGGTGATGCGCTGTTGAAGACCCAAAGGGCGAAGCAAGCCGTGCACATGGACGTGGGCATTTGAGTCCGCTGGCTGCCCAGCGGCGAGCAAAAGCGACTCACGACTTAGTGAATGCGCAACCAGGGCGGCAAAGGTGGAGCCATCAAGCCGGCGGCAGTCCAACATGACAACTACACCGTCAACGAGCCATCGGGGCTCAGCGACGTAGAAAGCCTGTCCCGCCATAGGCTGCGGGGAGACAGGGATGAGCACCGGAAAGCCTTGACGTGCCTCTGGCAGCCTCTCAGCCTGTACAGCAGAAGTAAGCGATCCGACGGAGAGAGGCAAAGCGACACAGACTGGCACAAGCTCGGGGAGAATGTCCGGGGTATACACATAAGTCTGCAAGGTGAACCCAGGCACCTCGGGCGGAGGCACAGCTGTAGCAGTGGCACTTCCCGAACCGGAGACTGGAGCCAGCTCAGACGGAATGGCAGCGCCGCCGACACGGGGCGGAAGCAGCCCATCGGGCGAAGGCAAGGCAGCAGGAAGAGTAAGGCCTCGAAGGTCAGCATCGACGCGAGAAGTATGCCCAACCTCAGTAGCAACCGGCGACACTTCAGCAAAGAAGAGAAGTGTACAATTGCGCTCAAAGAAAACGTGATCACCACTCATGCGGCCGCCCTTGACCCCGACACGAACGTCCGGTGGCACGGTTAGATCGATATCGGATATCAGCGTCGGAAGATGAAGGGCAGACTGGCTGGAGTAGACCGTCCGTGGCCGATACCCAAGCGGCCGAAGGTCAAGCAGGACAAAGAAGCCACAGGCAGCGGGCCTCGAATCATCTGAGACATTAGTCGGAGGCAAATCCTTAACAGCAACCAGAAAAGCACAATGAGCGCCCTGAACATCAAGGTTACCAATAGGGAAAGAGCACGTGGCCATGGCATCAGGAGCCAGACGGAATCGCTCAGCAATGTATTGGACAATCGTTTGTCCAAAATAGAAGTGCTCTTGGAAGGTGTACCTCTGGTCCTGAAAATGAACACACGTAGCCGCATGCAGCTCCGGAGGGAAGCAATGGTGGAGAGGGCCCCAACCAGTGTCAGGCAAAAAGAGCGTCTCGATACAGTACCCAGGGTCGGGATCGCACGACTCAAAGATCACCGTGACAACATCGCCGTGCACAAGGCGAACGAGATCTCGAGGAGACCAGGACCCTGAAGCAACCCCTACAAAGAATTGGAGAGACCGCTCATCATGCTGCGTAAGCGGTATGATGAAAGCCTCCAAAGCCTCGACTGAGAGATTGCATGGCAGGGTAGTAGCGAAGCATCGGCCTCCAACCCTCGAAAGGTCACAGACAACAGCAGCGAAGCCTTCATCCCCTAGTCGACCAATAATGCTGGGGAAGCGGATATATGAAGCATAATCCGGGAAACGCTGCGGCCTCAATGCAACAATAGCATCAAACAAGCCTGACGGAGCTCCTGGGGCCGTGGAAAGGATTAAGTCTTCCACAGACCGGGAAGTGCGCTCACGAGGCTGCAGAGCAAAAGCCATCGGCGGATAGTGTGGCGTATAAAGATAGACGCCAAGCCAATCACTGTCAGGAGTATCCGGGACAGGAGGTGGGGGCCAAGGAACAGGCGTCCCTGAAATGCGCAAACACCGGCTCCGGTCAACTGGTGCAGCAGAATCCGAGGGGAGACACGTGCCCACAAAAGTAGTGAGCTGATCGGGCGACAGCTGATGTGGCCGGAGAGCACTGCCCTCGGAACCAGTAGGAAAGGAGGACTCCGGGGGCCGCGCCATGGCACCCACAGAGACAGGGGCGATCAACCAGACCGGCCGCGGGAATGCACAAGCTTGAACGGGGTGCGGAACACTCAGGCAGTACAAGCACCACATAGCGAAGCGCCCAAGAGGACCACTACCACCGGAACTCGACCGGCCTCTGCCACGGGTCCGGCGCGGAGACCAGACCAAGACAGTGTGGCGAGGCGAAGAAAAGCCAAAGGGAACCAATGCGCGCAGTTGCCGACTATACAAGGAGAGCCCAAGCACAAACCCCAAAGGGGACGCGTGAGCACGTAAAGGTCGGACGAGCAAAGTCCCAAGGAGCAGGAAGACAGCGAGTAACCAAGTGTGTGCCAGGGAGATAAGTGCACCACAAAAGCCAACAACAGGGTAACTCGACTGCTCCATGAGGCCCAGCGCAGAAGAAATCGAACGCCACAGACCGGGCAAGAAATATTCAAGTCCAAGTTCCGGGAAACACCCCTGAGCCACCGATGTGTTTTTTAGGCCCGCGGAACTGGACGAACGGCGGAAAACAGAGGAGAAAACCTCATCAAAAGCCGCAGGAAGTCCAAAAGGAGGACGCACCACAGGATCAACGCAGAATCGCCCCGGTAAACACCCCAGAGCCACCGATGTGTTTTTTAGGCACTCGGAGCGAAACGCGATAAAGGGAAAAGGAGAGGCACGCGCCTCAAGAAGAGAACGCAGCCAGACAACGAAGATTGCAGGCAGGTCGGCAGTGCCAAACAAAATCTGCACGACAGGCACACGGCCGAGGGAAGACCAACGGCCACTGAGGAATCGGGCGGTATCGGCCATGAGACCGCAAGGCAGAGGGGCAGCCACCCTATCACAAGAATAGTGAAGGAATGGCGCCCGCGAGGAAGAAATCGTATCCCTCGGACCGAACTCAAGAGCCCAATGAGCCGACCGAGAGGAACGAAGACAGGGCACCGAAGTGACCTTCAAGTAAACAGCCGAAGCAATAAAGCTGAGACCGGACTCCGGACAAAGTTGGATCCTAGGCCTATTAAGCTTCCAAGGAAGCGAAAAAGGTATATACAGGCATGAAGACATCCTGTACAGGGCTGCCGGATCATTGGTTTCGCCACAAGCGAGTGGCCCAGCATCCAGGTCAATCCAGCCTGAAGGATAGCATTGTCCGGGAGGTAACCAGGGAACAGCTGCTGTAAAGTACAGCAGAAGCTCTCCAAGACCTCTCAGACTGCACACCGACACGCTTAGACGACCCCGAACTGTCCACTCGCGACAAGAGCTCAAGACAGATGGTCCAGGCTTTTGGACATAGAGTGCAGATCCTCGTCGTCGTCGTCGTCCGCAAGAAGCTGCGACTGGGCCGTCGCGGCCGCATTGATCTGGCCTGCACCACCAAAGGGTAGAGCAGCACGCCTGCTCTCCCGCTCCCGACGGTCTGAGAGCTTGTCCGCGAGTGTAGGTCCCAACGCAGGCGCCGTAGGGGTAGGGGCCATAGTAGCACTCTTGATATCCTGTCGAGGTGGCATCTCGGAGGTAGGGGTCCGCATCAAAGAAACATCCCTTTGACCTGGATGCTTGGGAGAAGGCCGACCACCATGCTGCTCCGTCTTGGCAGTGTCGAAGCGACTGGGGGAAGCTTCCACGGGGGCCACCAGCGGGTGCTCCATGTCGCTGTCCTTGCCAACTGTTGCCGGTACCTCGGGCGCCGGCCGAGGCGGGACACCAGGACCGACGTCTGTCGAAGGAAGGCCGTGGAAACCCGGCCCCTGACCAGACTGAGCTGCCATCCAGGCTGCGTCTGTCCCGGCAATGAGGCGCTGCATGTCCGGGGGGAGAGAACTCGAAGGGGCAGAGACTAGTGCAGGTCCTCCTCCCACAGCACGACGGAGCACCCCATCCATATCGTTGCCATGTTCTCGTTCCCAATTGGCGCAAACACGAGCCCATTGCTCCGGGGCGTCGTCGACAAGACCAGGAGGAGGTCGCTCGCGTCCCAGGCCGTGATAGGCCTGCAGCACAGCTGCCCGGGCCCGATCCTGCTCGTCTGCGGCTTCCTGGATGTCCCGATCGAACTTGGCCTCCGCGTTGTTGAAACGATTGCGCTCCTTGATCCAGGAGGTACCCATTTCTTCGTTGTAGGCCTTCCATTGCGAACGACCACGGTCTCTGGCAGCCAGAATCCTCTGCAGTTTCTGCTCCGACTTGCGAGCACCATTCAGAAGCGTCTGGAGGTCTTGCATCATAGTGTCTGTAGAACTGGGCACATCGGGTAAGGTTGGGTGCCGGCCAGAAATCCCCGGATTCGCCTTGGGCATCGCCGTGTAAGAGGGGAACGCGGGCCTCCAATCTTCTCGTTGAGAGCCCTGTTGCGCAGCACGCCAAGGCCGCTGAGAGGGCGAAAAGGCACCTTTCCAGAGCTGGTAACCGCTGTACTCCTGGGCGTGGGCTTGGCCTCCGCCGCCACGCTTGCGTCCCATGGCTGCTAAGCGGTACCGTGGCTGCGAATGATGGCGTTGCAACAAAGCAACGTCCCGTCTACGAAGTGAGAGTCCCTGAAGCCTCCGACGACGAACGCGGGAGCGGAGACGAGCTCGCTGCCTTCGCGCTTGTCGATGCCAGGTAGGCGAGGACGGCGTGGTTTTATTAACCACTGGGGCAACTGGCTATCCCCAGCTGTCGGGGTGTTCCTGAGCCCTAATATAGGGGCCTTAAGAGTTAGAATAAGGTTTTGGGTCCCCTCATACTAGAAGAACCAAAAGGAACCCAAAATAGTATTGGTAATTCTGTAGGCCCCTACATTTCATGCTTGTAGCCCTAATCGCGGTACTGACTGACGTAAGCTTCGGTCTGAGTGGGGCTTGATAAGCCTATGGTGCCACAGTCCGCACCCATATGTACTACAACTCAATATAACCATCAGAGACCCTAAACAACATCCTAACTCCGATGACCTGCGACAAGCCTGAAAACCCTAAACCCCAAACCCTGAACCCGAAACCCTGAACCCCAAACCTAAACCC